CAAACTCTCAACCACTCGTGTGTAATACGAGCCTTTGCTTGCAGACAATCAACTCCAAAACAGGAAACAAATCCACCTGATAACCTTGTAAAGGAGAAGGCACCTTTTTCACATCCATGTATTCTTTACAAACTCCAAAGATCACTTTTTTGGCCGCCTTCATTTGGTTAAGGTTCAACAATATTGGTGTGTCAGAGGATTTCTAAAACGGAAGCCAAAGAAAGAAAGCAAAAGAAAAATTAAAACAACAAAATTAACATGAAAAATACATCTGATATAACTGAGGTTTAAAAAAATTAGCTATTATCATAGTAATAGTAAATAATAATGAGACTTCCACTTCTTCTACCACTTTCAAGCATTAAATTTGTTACTGTGGAAATGCTTCCAAGTTGGGATAAATTAAATGAGTGCAGACATATCCTTTCCAAAAGAAGCCTCTTAAGATTGATAACTAATAACAGACCTTGCTTACCCCTGTCCTTCCCAGTTTGGTGATATTGATTACAGCTTGCCAAGTATTACCAGATATCCTTGCCTTTGTCTTGAAATGTAATAGCACCCAATCTGGAACTCGGAGGCTTTCCACCTATAAGGAAAATGTTTCATCACCAACAAGCTCTTCCCCCGTCCATTTAACTCCTTTCTTTAAGGCCACATCCTCCACAATCTCATTTACAATAGCTCTGGCCTCAGGATCACCAAAAGCACACCTGCTGGAAAGCACCATTGATAAATTTTCTCGGCTCCTTTCACAGATGCCTTGTGCATCTTGGAGAATGCGGCTCCTTCTTTTCTTAATAAGGAAAGTCTTTCCTGGGGTCTCCAAATCATTCCTTTCAGAAATCTCCTTTAGATTAGGGGAACTAAGGCTGCCAATGTTTGGAGGAGTCAAATGAACCGAGACATGCATTTCTTTCATACAGGCAGAGTGTTGAATTGAGGGATCATTGTAAGGCACCGAGCTGCACATGGTTGCTTTCAATTCTTCAAGTCATTGCCATCTCCCTTGAGGGAACTCAAATCCAAGCCATTCAAAAATTGTTTAACTTTATAAATCACGGCAGATCCTCCTTCTTCAGAAGCTCCTTTTTTTCCTCAGAATAACCAATACAAGCCCAAAAGACGAGCAAACAACTTCAAATGCACTGGAATTTTTCTTGTTGACGAAGGGGCGCCCATCGAGAAGTCGAAGTTTGTCTCTTTCAATTCGGCAGAAATCTTCTGGAGAAGTTGCCACGATCGGTGATCGCTTAAAATATTGCAGAGGAGTAATTCCACAAAATTCTGTTGTGAGCACATACCAGTAATTATGCTCGCTTAATGCATCACTGACGACGCGAGAGAAGGTCGAAAAACCTTTCCTCCGCGCCATTTTTGGGGAAAATAACTAAGAAAACTACATGCACTACAAAGCAATCTGGGAAAAAAAAAA